TTTTTCCTTCAAGATTTTTCTCAAGAACAAGCGGCTTGGAATTTTGCTTGGAATTTTGCTTGACTCATTTTAGAAAACTTTCAAGGAATCTTGGTAAAGGACTAATTGTAAACGCGTAAGAGGCTATATACATAATTTTTATTTAATGATTTGTTGCTCTGAAAGTCAAAATAAGGGAGTCAAAACCTAAATGCTCTCACATGTGTCATAGGTTCCTAGTCCTTAAAGTTTAGGAAAGGTTGAAGCAGAAGGAAAAGTGGTAGAGTGTCTTACAGTGCATTGATTCTAGCACATCAGCATTATTAAAAATTGCTGCTGCTTCTTTTTTTTAGATAGAATCTCACCGTGTCACCCAGGCTGGAGTGCAGTGTCATGAAAACTGAAGCCTCCAACTCCTGGGCTCAAGAAGTCTTCCCACATTAGCCCCCTGAGTAACTGGGATTTGAGGCACGCACTACCACACCCAGCTAATTTTTGTATTTTTTGGAGAGATGGGGTTTTGCCATGTTGTCCAGGTTGGTCTTGATCTCCTGGGCTCAAGTGATTTGTCCGCTTTGGCCTCCAAAAGTGCTGAGGTTACAGGTATGAGCCACCATGCCCAGCCAAAAATTGCTTCTTATAGTCAATGTGGCGAGCAAACATCTATGAAAGAAATAATCACCACGTATAGCAGACTTTACTTCGGAAAGTTTTTTTTCAGGTCTAGCTCTTCTGTTCATTCTGCTTAATATTTCAGCTGCAAATGGTACAACTAAACAGAGGACATCATTAGGTACCCCAAATAAAATTGACAGTATTTTCTCATGAGGCATTATTATATACACTGATTAGATTGTATAGTATCAGGAACTACAGAATAAAGTAACTGGCTGATGGAACATAAATTTGGATATATTTAGCAACTGTGCTTCTACAATTCACATAGAAGGCAATGAAAATAAAAGATCATAGAACAAAACCGTATCATGTCAGATAACATAATATAAAATTTCAGGGATACTTGTAAAGTAACATGAAAAACCTTACTACTATTTCCATGACAAAATATGCTTCGAATTCCAAATCAATTGAGAAATGAACTTTAGAGGCTCTATCTGTGACTGAAGGCTAACTCTACCCTTTATCCGACTCCAAGTAGCTGCCTACCTATAACTATAATTTGGCCTTGGATATATCTAAAACCTTTAAGGAGACTTAAACATCAGTCTACTCTTTAATGTGAAGAGATGGCTCTGTTCTGCACGTACACTGCTCCAATAACCCCTGTGGATGCATAAGAAACATATAAAGGTTTATTAAGTAGGGTGCGGAAGAGAGATGAGAGCAGAAGAGTTATTTGCAAAGTCATGCATGGGGTCAGACTAAGTCATTTTAGCCCTCTTCTACCACTGTAATACCCACAACCAATTAAGCCATCTTCAATTTTCTGTTTGTATTATATTATATTACATTATATTACTATTATTAGCTTTGAGACAGAGTCTCGCTCTGTCACCCAGGCTGGAGTGCAATGGCATGATCTCGGCTCACAGCAACCTCCACCTCTTGGGTTCAATTGATTCTCCTGCCTCAGCCTCTCAGGTAGCTGGGATTACAGGCCCCCACCACCATGCCTGGCTAGTTTTTGTAGTTTTACTAGAGACGGGATTTCACCATGTTGATCAAGCTGGTCTCAAAGTCTTGACCTCAGGTGATCCACCCGCCTCAGCTTCCTTAAGTGCTGGGAATACAGGTGTGAGCCACTGCGCCCAGCCTTTTTATATTATTATTATTATTTTGGGACAGAGTCTTGCTCTGTCGCCCAGGCTGGAGTGCAGTGGCTCTATCTCAGCTCACTGCAACCTCCGCCTCCCGGGTTCAAGCGATTCTCCTGCCTCAGCTTTCGCAGTAGCTAGCATTACAAGCATGCACCACCGCATCTGGCTAATTTTTGTACTTTTAGGAAAGACAGGGTTTCACCATGTGGGTCAGGCTTGTCACGAACTACTGACCTCAAGTGATCTGCCCACCTAGGCCTTCCCAAACATTGGGATTACAGGCATGAACCACTGCGCCCAGTCTTGTATTATTTTAAAGGCGATGCATCATAGGGTCATAGTTGCTAACCAGTTCCTCCCCTTCCCCATATTCCTATAGCCCTTTTCAGCTTTCAGTGTGATTACATCTATTTCTTTCTCTATCTCCTCCATGAGCCTGTGAGCTCCTTGAAAGCACGGTTGGTATCTTATTTGACTTTGTATCTTGGTTCACAACAAGCACCTACCAAATGTTTGTTCAATAAATAAACTTCCATGGAGGTGAGTAGGGAAAGTGCGCAGACCTACACATCATGCAGGCTATATAGTCCTCTCACGTGGTTTTAAAAACACATACTCTATTGGAGAAAGCTATGAACAAAATAGTCAAGATCAATAACGTCCTCACATTCTTCACATCCAATTGGCCTGTTATCATGCCTTAACTACCCTTGTTCAATACTTCAAGATACTACAAGACTCTTCAAGATGTTTGTGACCTGTCCTTTGAATTTAGCTGAAAATCAGACAGAAATAAATCTTTTCAGAAGCAGTTTTCACTTTCAATCATTTCGGCATTCAAGCAGCACATTTAACCTTTACAGTCATACACATCATGCGTACACCATGTTTTGACAAGCCTGCAATTTATAGATAAAAGTTAACATTTAGAAGTAAATATAAGGAGTTAAAGACCAGCCTGGCCAATATGGTGAAACCTCGTCTCTACTAAAAATAAAAAAATTAGCCGGGCGTGGTGGTGGGCGCCTGTAATCCCAGCTACATGGGAGGCTGAGGCAGGAGAACTGCTGGAACTTGGGAGGTAGAGGTTGCAGTGAGCCAAGATCAAGTCACTGCACTCCAGCCTGGGCAACAGAGTGAGACTCCATCAGAAAGAAAAGAGAGAGAGAAAGAGAGAGTGAGAGAGAGAGAGAGAAAGGAAGTAAAGAAATACAAATTGCCCAAAACTAAAGGTCTACTAACATTTTTATTGTCAATATTTTCAATATATACAAGAAAAAATAGCACAAAAAACACCCATAAACCCATCACAGATTCTACATTTATCCAGATTTCTCCACATTTGCTTGGTTCATCTATTCTCTCTTCCTGTCCTTTCTTCTCCCTCCCTCCTTCCCTATCTGTCTCTCTTCCCTGAATTACTTTAAAGCAAATCTCAGAAATCCTGTGATTTCATCCCTACATAGCTATTAAGAAATGAGTTCATTTTTTCTGGAAATACCTCTATTCTGTGCTATAATTGATGATTAGCTAGATTCTAATTGATTTTTTGTTTTGTTTTGTTTTCAGTCCAATATCTATGAGTCACTTAACCCCCAAAGGGTGCCCAATCCTGTGTCATTTCCTGGAGGAATATCAAATACTTCCATTTTAGGTAAAAGTTTCCTTTCCTTTTTTTATGCTTAATAAACAAAGATAAGATCTGAAAGCAATGGCTATTTAAAAATAAATTAATACATAGCTTTTTCTAATAATAGAAATATTCAATTCAATTTGGTCAGATTAAAGACATCATTTAAATGTTTCTCAGGCAAGAATTTTGCAGCTATTTAATGCAAGTCTTAATTATGGTCTAAAAGCCCCTTTTCCTGGGATGAAGAATACTATTTCAAACCCAAAGGCACAACAAAAAAACAGCTCTCCCTCCCCTAGCTTCAGAAAGCTAAGGTACATTAACTAACTTCTTAGATTGAAATAGCCCACTTTTCTTTTAAAAGGTCTAATGTCTTCCATACCTCCTAAGTAAACTTTTACATCTACCCCAAAAACCTGAATAATTTATGGTAAAATAAATCTGCTGCTAATGAAATTCATTAATGTTCATGCCTAAGAAGTATTTCCAGTTTCCTTTCTTATGAAAATTAACATATGTTGGAGTGAAGCCAAGGGCAACTTTCAGGGATATGTGTGTGGGGTGTGTGCGTGTGTGAAAGACAGAGAGAGAGAGAGAGAGAGAGAGAGGGAGAGAGAGAGAGACACTAGGTAAGATCAGACTAGTTATCACGCTTCCTTTCAATTTAAAATAAAAATGCCATAAAATATTGTGACCTACAACTCAAATCACTATATACACTACGCAGAAAGCTATCGGCAAGTCACTGAAAATGCCTCCTACAGTGTTATATACCTTGCTTATATGTTAGCAAATACAGCACTTGTTAATTGAAAAAACTGGTTTGTTTTGTTTCATACTTCACTTTTTACTTCATATGCGTATACAAAGTACAACCAGTCCAAGAGGTGATTCAACTCAGAGTGAGGATTGACTATATAACTAGCTATACTTCCCTTTGCTGGAAATATGGGGAAATTAAACTTATATGACAACCATTTGATGGAAAATCCTGATGTATCCGAGCACCAGAAATCACTATTGCTACCAAGTACCAATACCATCAAAATTTAATCACCAGTGATTTTTATTATTTTGCAAATTATAAACATTAAGACAACTGTTTGATTTAACCCACTTAGGAAGAGTAGAATACTAATTTAATCATGACATGTTCTGTCATGACAGCCACCTCAATCTCCATTTTACGTAATTTTGAAAAACCATTTAACTGGGATCAAAGGCATTTGAAATTCCTCCCCACCACAAATATAGACAATAATTTCTATTATTTAGTGTTTTAGATACTTGATAAATACAGCTATATAATTAGGACTTCAAAACCCATTTTTAAAAAGTATAAACTCCCTAAACAATCTCTAAATAAAGACAAATACAGAATACACACAGAACAGGTTAGAATCTAAACTTCAAAATTTTCTCTTAACAAAAATTTTATTCTAGTTGAGTAAATAATATTTTTTAAAGTGACTCCAAATGCTTAACTACACAAATAAACAACAGGAATTTCAAGCTTTTTAAAGTAAATTTCTGCTTAATCATTTAGTATTTAAATTTAGATTTAGTAATCTGAAAGTTAGAGCCTGTCAAAATAGTATTAAAATAGTTACCCGCTGAGAGCAAACTTGGTTCTTTCCTTTCTCGCAGCACTGATAGACAGAACCTTCTCCCACGCCCAGAAAAGCAATCTGGAAACCCAACATTCTTCTTACAATTGCAACTTTAGAGAGCAAGTCACAACACTTCCTGCTAGAAAAAGAGAACACCCTGACAAAAGAATGATACAATACTTACGAATCCCCTTCCTGTCAGCCTGTCAGTATTTTGCCGAGAATTTAATAAATTCTAACTTAAACGCAGCATTTAAAGAGAAAAGTTTTCTTTCTTCTTCTTCTTCTTTTTTTTCCAAAATCATACAAGGACTCAGGGGAATTTAAAGTTAGTTCAGGTCAAATAGCTACAACCCATATACCTATTTAGAGTTTGAACAGTAGCCAAGTAACCTGCTTATTTTAGAACACATGGAACAGCTTCTCCCCAGTGCCCAAGTCACTCGTCCATAGTCAAGAACATTACTTGCGAAGGCAAATTAACTCTCAGGCCACTCACTTACAGTCTCTATTACTCATTTTCATCCATATACAACATTTACACCCCATATGCTAAGGTGGTGTAGCATTTATTTCAAGTATATACATTTTGATTTATGTCAAAAATGTAAGCTCTTCTGTGCAGGAACTATATTTTCTGCTGGCATAGCACACAGGAACTAAATCAACACTTGCTGAACTGAACACTTTTCTAACTGAGAGCCGTAGTAAAGAGGTCTAGAGCCAGATTGGGTTCAAATCCTGGCTCCACACTTTATCAACCATGCAAATTGCTTAAAACTCTTCTGCCTCTATTTTCTCATCCCGGGATGAAGATAAGAGCAACTCCATCATATCACAGTTCACTATTTTATACATGGTTGTAAGGCTTAAATGATTTAATATGTGTCATAAATTTAGATCAGAGTCTGGCGCATGGTAAGTACTAGATATGTGATAACTGCTCTCATTATTGAAATTTGCCTTTAACTGGTCTAGCAATCTAATCAGTGAGTTGCTAAATTAAGCAACTGGTTAGTTGTGAGTGCCTTTTATGAGAGAGAACAATCAGTTGGAGCACTGGGCTAGGCTGAGGAGGCCATTTCTGTACTGACATAGGGCAAGTTAATAATTTGAAAGGAAATGCAGCACAATGAAAGCATCAGGGTCTTAGGAGTCTGACAGACCTGTAAGTCTGTGTGACCCTGAACAAATTACTTAGCTTCTCTGAGCCCCGGGTTCATATCTATAACAATGGAGCTATTCCACATATTTCACAAGGTCCACATGATGACCTAATGGGAAGATATAAATATGTAAGAGTGTTTGAGTCCAGCAAGGTACTCAGTAAGTGGCAGATATTATTATCATCTGTCTCGGATAAAGCATGCATAATGCCATCTGCGGCTCTATTCTACCTCATGAGAATGAAAGAAAGACAATAGATACTCTAGTCCTTCATAAATAATATACAATAAAGTATTTTATAATAGCATACTGAACTCTCAGCATAAGGAGGTGACTCACAGTGTGGTCACCTGTGAAAAGGAGCCCTCACTGGATCGTCCCTATTATGAGGCAGACAGTGTTCCCCTGTCTTCATCACTAACCACCATCAGCAGACACTGGGTCACATTTTGTGTCCTTCATGGAAGTGCTTTAATTTATTTCACCAATCACAAAACCTTCATGAAATATCAAAAGGCAACACAATGCAGAAGAGAAGGAATATAATGGCAGGAGTCAGAGGACATGTTTTTCCATCTGTCCTTGTTGCTGACTCACTACGTGAATGAAGCTTCTTCAACTTTTCTGAGTATCAAATTCTCCATTTCTAAGCATAGAACTATCTGCCTGTGTCCTATCAGGGAATAGTAGGTAACTACCAAGCATTTTGAGCTACTTTGAAGAGTATGTGTTATCATTCATTTTTCAGACAGAGAAAATCGGGGCACAGGCAACTGCCTCAAGTAAGAAGACAGTATCAGTTTAGACCAGAAATGTTGGGTTTTCCCCAGCCTTACCTTTTCTTCAGCCACACCTGTTGCCTCAAACCACTGAGATGGGTCTGTCCCAAATGCTACGTAACCACCCTTTTCAGATATGTAGCAGTATCATTGAGGAAACTAATGTTTTAAATATGTAATTCTTCATTTTAGAAAACAGCTTTCTCTCGTTTCAAGTTTTACAGGTCATTATAACAGTGCTACTTAAAAACTGTTTCTCTGACTTTTCCTTTCCTGGTCATCTGGAATATTTATGCTCTCCAGCTTTCCAAACTCCAAGGCTAATCTTCGATCAGCGTGATCTGTCAACACCGAGTTACTAATTCTAAAGTCACTTCACCTTAATATAATAGCATCTATTTCTACTGCAAAACATTGTAGTTAAAGTTCTAGGAGTCGATATGCCCTTCAAAAGGGCACATCTTCTACTTAGTAAATGCTAGGTGTAGGACATAGAGACAGTTTTGGTTTTTTTTTTTTTTTTTTGAAACGGAGTCTTAGTGGCGAGATCGCGGCTCACTGCAAGCTCCGCCTCCTGGGTTCACGTCATTCTCCTGCCTCAGCCTCCCGAGTAGCTGGGACTACAGGTGCCCACCACCACGCCCGGCTAATTTTTTTGTATTTTTAGTAGAGACGGGGTTTCACCGTGTTAACCAGAATGGTCTCGATCTCCTGACCTCGTGATCTGCCTGCCTCAGTCTCCCAAAGTGCTGGGATTGCCCGGCCAGTTTTTTGTTTCTTTTCTTTTCTTTTTTTTTTTTTTGAGATGGAGTCTCGCTCTGTCACCCGGGTTGGAGTGCAGTGGTACGATCTCAGCTCACTGCAACCGCCGCCTCCTGGGTTCTAGCTATTCTCCTGTCTCAGTCTCCCGAGTACCTGGGATTACAGGCACCTGCCACCATGCCCAGCTAACTTTTGCATTTTTAGTAGAGACGGGTTTCACCATGTTGGCCACGCTGGTCCAGAACTCCTGACCTCAGGTGATCCACCCATCTTGGCCTCCCAAAGTGCTGGGATTACAGGTGTGAACAATCGCACCCAGGCTAAAAGACAGTTCTACCACATCACTAATTTAACAGGTTTTAGCATGTGACCCATTTTGTAAACTTCTATCTCACTCACCATCTGAGGTGTGTGTGGGTGTGTGAGTGAAGGGGGCGGTAGGGAGCGTGTCTGTGTATGTGCATGTATGTGAACAGGATCTCGGTTTTTACTATGGGTAATGAATACTGGTTTGGGAATGCAAGATGGTGGCAAGGGTTCTGTAATAAATTCTACATTCCCATCAACAGGCCGCAGAATGAAAACAGCTTTTAAATTGCATCCCAAATTCATCAAAATGAATGCTAAGGAAAGCCGATGGAAACCAAATTCTCACTCTCATTCTCTCTAGATGTTACAAACAGAAACCATAAAGTTAAGAGTTCAGGCTGGGCATTAAGAGTTCAGGCCAGGCCGGGTACGGTGGCTCAGGCCTGTAATCCCAGCACTTTGGGAGGCTGAGATGGGCGGATCACCTGAGGTCAAGAGTTTGAGACCAGCCTGGCCAACATGGTGAAACCCTGTCTCTACCAAAAATACAAAAAAGCCAGATGTGGTGTCGTGTGCTTGTAGTCCCAGCTACTCGAGAGGCTGAGGCAGGAGAACAGCTTGAACCCCAGAGGCAGAGATTGCAGTGAGCAGAGATTGCACCACTGCACTCCAGCCTGGGCCACAGAATAAGACTCTATCTCAAAAAACAAACAGAAAGTTAAGAGTTCTCACACATGGACTTGTGGACACACTCCCACCCCAGGGTGGAGAAAAGAGGCACACCCCAAAAAGTTATAGGAGTTTCACATAAGTATCAGTGGAATATGTAGCTGTAACACAACAGCCAGGCATAGTATTTTTAAAGTCTCTTAAAACTTTCATGCAGACGTCCTGCTCTCCACCACACCCAGTACTAGGTATACTTTCCGTGTGTGACACGTACATTGGAGGCCTCTCCTCCTGTGCTTAATGACACACCTCAACAACACTCATCTATTTTCCTTTCATGAAACAGTTTTTTTTCCATCTTCATGACTTATAAAAACAAAGCGAACAGCCGGGCGCGGTGGCTCAAGCCTGTAATCCTAGCACTTTGGGAGGCCGAGACGGGTGGATCACGAGGTCAGGAGATCGAGACCATCCTGGCTAACACAGTGAAACCCCGTCTCTACTAAAAAATACAAAAAAACTAGCCGGGCGAGGTGGCGGGCGCCTGTAGTCCCAGCTACTCGGGAGGCTGAGGCAGGAGAATGGCGTAAACCCGGGAGGCGGAGCTTGCAGTGAGCTGAGATCCGGCCACTGCACTCCAGCCTGGGCGACAGAGCGAGACTCCGTCTCCAAAAAAAAAAAAAAAAAAAAAAAAAAAAAAAAAAAAAAAAAAAACAAAGCGAACAAACAAACATAGTGAGTGAAGCATAGAAGCAAAGGGATCTAACATATAAAACAGACAACAAGTTTACATTCAAGAAACTACTACTGTAATTTTGGGACAATATTGGAAAGTTTAGGAAATTCATACCAGGCACAGCATTAGGTATATAAACTTGTTGCATGGATGTGTCAGTTTTAATAATCAAGTCATTTATGTAACTTTTTTTCATATTTTGGGAAAAATAAGTTAGAATATATCTTAATTTCAATATTCTGGCCAGGCGTGGTGGCTTGTGCTTGTAATCCCAGCACCTTGGGAGGCAGAGGTGGGTGGATCACTTTAGCCCAGGAGTTCGAGAGCAGCCTGGGCAACATGGCAAAACCCTGTCTTTACAAAAATAATACAAAAAAATTAGCTGGGCTTGGTGGCTGTCACCTGTAGTCCCAGCTACTTGGCAGGCTGAGGTAGGAGGATAGCTTGAGCCCTGTAGGTGAGCTGTGATCTTGCCATTGCACTCCAGCCTGGGCGACAGAGCAAGACTGTCGCAAAAGAAAATATAAAATTCAATATTCCAAGGGCTGTCTCCCTGATAGTATTTACTAGCTCTTTATTTGTGTAACTAAGTAATCAAAATTTTAAAATAAATAAAGAAAAGGTCAAAATACATCGAACTACACATGGGGAAAGGAATGAATTTAAACGTCATACATGCTCAGTTCA